ACAGGGTGGAGAGCCAGGGCCTCCTGGAAGAGGAGGAAGGACAGGGGAGTGTGCAGCAGGGATGAAGGGAGCCGACCCTGCCCCAGCAAGCTGGTGAAAGGTCACTGTAATTGGTTACTGCTGTACTTGTGGACGGTAGCCCTAGTGTACCTGGTTAGTCCATCAGCGCTCACTAGGAAACAGCACTATGAGGGAGAGTCTACCTGGAAGGGAGGGAGCAAAGACAACATGAGGGAAGAAAACAGCTCCCATCAGCCTTTACTACATGCTGTGGACCCCTGAGCACTTCAGGTGATGAAACTGAGGCCTAGAAGGATTAAGCCCCTCGCCCAAAGGCTCAGTTAATTTGTGTAACAGCGCGTTAGCTGGACAGGAAGTTACAGGTGAGGGGACTAAATGGCCCAAATTTCCTGCCGGGTTATTCAGCTGGTGGGTTGAAAGCTGGCCCTTCAAGCTGCAGCTGATCAATTTTTGCAGCCCCAGGCAGGTGGGTCAGTCAGACCTGCCCCAGTAAGGTGAAGATCCAGTTTCTTGCCACCTGATGAACCTAGCTTTCATTTTTCTCTCAAGTGGGTGAATACTTTTCTGGAACAGACAGCAGTGAGGATTACCTGAGGGGCTCGGGGAGTGGTCCACGAGAGGAGAGAGGACTGAGTTGCTTAGGACGACACTTACCACGGGCTTCCAGGTTTGTGGCCGTGTGGCATAGCACCCAGTAGGTGCTTTATGATAACTGCAGAACCAGTGTCCACCTGAAGGGCTGCTACAGCAGGGAGAGCTGGGTGTGGGATACACTGGGCTTTTAGCGCCCAAAGGATCCACAGAGCTCTGACATCCAAACCCAGACACGCTGTACTGATTAAAACAGTGCATTAACATTTGTTGAGTGAGCATTCAGTGCAAGATTTTGAGAAAGGACCTGGTACCCCCAAGAATAAGAAGAACTAAATATGTGACCAAGATTAAAGAAGTATTTAAAAATAAGTGAGGGTAGTGGGGATAAACTAAAATAAACAGAACCCAACTTTTCTTTTAAGGGATAAAGCACTAAATAAAAATAACTAACCAAAATGTACACAACGGAAATTTCAGAAACTAAAAAGCTATGAAGCAGTATGGAGAATCATTTTTAAGTGTCATGCATGATTGCTCAGAATGGTGCCTATGGCCGAGCAGGGGGTCTCTAAGGAGCCCCCCACATATCCCATATCAGGGTTCTTTCTCAGGCCAGTGCTTCTGGGACTCCGGGAAATTCCTATCCCTGGCTTCCGGAGTTACCCTTGGAGGGAAGTTTCAGTCCTTAAGAGCTGTAATTGAAAGAAAAGTGAACTATGCTTTCAAATCAAGATTGGCGCGGGGAGGTGGGGTAGAGGGGTGCGGGGGAGCAGATAAACCTCCAGAAATCCCAAGCAACAGTAAAGCAATGAAATGCTCAAGGTACTGGCAGATATGAATTGGGACAGGCAAGCCCTCCAGTGACTAATTCAAAAGCTTTTTTGGGAGGGGCTAGGAGGAAGAGGTTGGAAGTGGGAGATCAGATCCCTGTCATGATTTTTATCAAGGAAAAAGTTGTCTTAAACGCAGGAAAGGAGTGACTGGCGGCGGCCGAGTACTGACAACATGGCCCAGGACCCGTTTTTCAACCCTGGAGCGCCCAAGGCCAGGAGCGGGGCAGCCCCACCCGGCGCAGGGCGACTTCTGACCCCGAGCTGACTCACTCCTCGGATCGCGCGCCAGCAACGGGCGACACTCGTGAGGTCCGTGGAGGCCGCCGCCGAGCCGAGGTTTGTCATCAGGAAGCTCGGAGAAGGGAAAACGAGTCCTAAGGAGACAAGGGAAGATAGAGGGGCGAGGAACGAAAGCGCGGGAATCGGGGGTTCGTAGCTCTCGGAGAAAGCGGCCGCGCTCCCCCGCCCCGCGTCGCCCACGGGAAAGACCTGCAGATCGGGAAGGGTTGTGTGGAGGCTCTGGCGCCGCCCCAGGACGCGTCCGCGGCGCGAGGGAGTTAGAGGGGCACAGCGAGTGGACGGAGCCGGAGCAGAGAGTCCCGTTGCTCCCCGAGCGGCCGCCCTCCTGCCAAGGGCCTGAGGCGGACTGAAAGCCGCGACATGGCGGCGCCGGAAGTTCTCGGTGCGGAGGCTCCTGGGAGTTGTAGTGCGCCGAGTCCGTGACGCGCTTCCGCCCGGGCCGGAAGTCGTGGCTGTGGGGAGGGTTGCACGTCTGGCCGCTTCGGGAAAGGGAGAAGACGCCGGGGCCGACCCAGGGGTCCGCTGTGGCCGCGGACTATGCGGAAGCCGGCTCCCTGGGCCCGGCCCCCGGCGCTGAGGAGTGCGCCGGCTGGCAGATGTGGCAGATGCTTGGGAAGCCGCAGAGGCTACGAAAACCCGCTGACTCATACCGCTTCCTGTTAACTTTTTTTTTTTTTTTTTTTTTTTTAATGCAGCCACAGTTGCTCCACGGTGGTGTAACTGGGCAGGGTTGCTCGGGTGCCCCGGTCATAGAAAGCCAAACTGATAAGGAGCGTTTGCAGCAAATTCAGGGTTTATTTCTGGGAGAGAAGTCTCAGATCCACTCCAACTTGGTCTTTGAGTTAAGGGAATTTTAAAGCGGGAAGAACAAAAAGGCTGGGGTTAATCTTCGTTTTGTGACATGTCTTAATTGTGGTTTCTGGTTTACGAGACTTGACCAAGTGGTCCATGGCTGGGGGACTAGTTCTCTCATCTTACTCCAGAGGGACAACCTGAGTTTGCACTTTAACAGTGACACCAATAGTAGTAGTTATGGTCTTCTGACTGGTTGATTGGTGTTCAGATAGCACAAGATTGAGGTCAGAGGGGACAAGAAAGGGAATACAGTTTTGGATACAGAAGTTAGTCATAAACTTGACAGTGGAACTCGGTTTTAGGGGGACTCATTTTCGGTAGTAGTTTCCTGTTCTGCTGCTTTTTACTTCATGTAGCAGGAATGTTCCTACATTGTCATAATTCCCCTAAAACCAATGTACTGATTTTTTAATACTTATATGGGACTCACAGTTTTCTTGATCTGTATTTTAATACTACCCGTGTTTTCCACTTTACTCCATCTTTTACCACATTGCTCAGGAAGTGAGTGTTGTGAAAATAAAGACAACTCAAATGAGGACAAGCAGGAGGCTACACAGAGCCGGGTCTAGCCAGGGGGTCAGCCACCATAGTTGTGTTTGGTGGAGATCAAGGCAGGCTGGAAGTGGGAAGACTCATTGGAGGGTGAGGAGAAGGTTGTGATTGGAGATTCTTGGCTTGGTGTCAAAAGTGGGAAATTTGAAGTCATTAACCATGTCCTGATGCTGGGCCTGTTGCCACAGAGGTTGTGGGTCAGAGTTATATTGTCATCTGTGGTCTGGCCTATCTCTGAATATTCCTTCCTTGGGTAACTTGGAAGTCATCTGTCCTCTTCTCCAGACAGCTCCCCAATCATACGTAGATTAACTTGGTGAATGTTCTGAGTTCATTCTGTAAAGTTCTTTCCAGGCAAAACTGCTTGCCACTTACAAACTCAAACAGCAGGGGTGAAAGTGCAGGTTTGCTCTGGATGTCAGCCACTCCATTTCTGTTTTTATAAATGTAAATCTAACAAAGCAAATCCTAATCTGTGTTATTTACTTAAAAAAAATTTTTTTGAAGTGCTTAAGTCATTTAGAATTAGCATTTCTTCTTGGAGTTGTAGAGAGCTTTCTTGTTTCCTGTTGCTTGTGTGCTCTATTTAGCATTTCAGGGCCGTCCTGGAGTTCTATTCAGCAAATTCTTGCGTCAGGACCCAGAGTCCCCTCCTTTCCCAGACACCCTCGTTCCTGGCCCCACAGAAGTGGGGTCACACTCTGTTCCCCTTATGGCTACAGCATCACCGGTCTTATTGTCTCTTGTTCTTTTTTTTCCCCTGTGGTTTTTTGTTAAACCGAATTATAGTCAGTTTACAATGTTGTGTCAATTTCCAGAGTAGAGCACTATTTTTCAGTTATACGTGAGCATACATATATTCATTGTCACATTCTTTTTCACTGAGAGCTACCACAAGATCTTCTATATATTTCCCTGTGCTATGCAGTATAATCTTGTTTATCTATTCTACATATGCCTCAGAATCTACAAATTTAGAACTCCCAGTCTGTCCCTTCCCACCCCCTTTTTTTTTCCTGTGTTGAGATATAATTTATATGCCATAAAGTTCACCGTTTGAAAGTGCACAACTCAGTGTGTTTTACTATATTCACAAGATTGTGCAACCATCACTATGATCTAATTTCAAAACATTTTCATCATCCCAAAAAGAAAGTCTGTAGCTATTAGCCATCACCCCCCAGCCCCCTCAATTCTCTCATCTCCTAGAAACTGCTCATCTACTTTCTGTCTCTATATTTGTCTATTTTGGGCATTTCATGGAAATAGAATCATATAATACAGCTTTTTGTGTCTGGCTTCTTTCGCTTAACATTGTCAGGGTTCATCTATGCTGTGGTACGTATCAAAACTTCATTGTTTTTTACTGCCAGATACTAATCTGTTGTGTGAGTAGACCATATTTTGTTTATCCATTTATCATTGGATGGACATTTGGATTGTTCTCCCTTTTTGGCAATTACTAATGGTGCTACTGTGAACATTCTTGTACAATTTTTTGTGTTGACAGGTGTTTTCAGTTCTCTTGGGTGTCTACCTAGGAGTAGAATTCTTGGGTCATGATACAACTCTATGCTTAACTTTTTGAGGAGCTTCTAGACTGTTTTGCAGAGCAGTGCAGCATTCTGTATTCTTCCTAACAGTGTGCGAGAGTTCCAGGTTTTTTCACATCTTCACCAACAGTTGTTACCAGTCATCAGTGAGTGGTCACCAAAGCCATCTTGTTGAGGATGAAGTGGTGTCTCACAGTGGTTTTGATTTGCATTTTCTTGGTGGCTAACGATGTTGAGCACCTTTTCACATGCTGTTGGCCATCTTTCTTGCTCTTCTTTTGACTTGCAGAGTGTCCTGAGGCTCACTTGGCCCCTCAGTTCGATCCTTTTCCTGCTGGGAACCCCCTGATGAAGATTGAGGTTGTTGAAGTCCTCACCCTGAACCAGGAGGTAGCTCGTCCCCGGAACGCCCAGATCCGGGCCCTCTATGCCGAAGATGAGGGCCTGAGCCCAGACGTCCTCAGGGAGTCCACTCAACAGGGCAACAAGCACCCAGCTGACCCTGAGGCTGCTCGCCAGAGGTTTCGGGGCTTCCACTTCGAGGAGGTGGCAGGGCCCCGTGAGGCCCTGGCCCAGCTACGGGAGCTGTGCCACCAGTGGCTGCGGCCCGAGGTGCACTCCAAGGAGCAGATGGTGGAGCTGCTGGTGCTGGAGCAGTTCCTGGGCGCGCTGCCCAGGAAGCTCCGGTTGTGGGTGGAGTCGCAGCACCCCGGGGACTGCCAGGAGGCCGTAGCTCTGGTGGAGGATGTGACCTGGATGTCTGAGGAGGAAGGTGGGTGCAGGAGACGGGTGGGGCAGGGTACTCTGTGAGGGCATCCTGGCGGGGGCGAGGGTGCCCACTCCATCTCAGCCTGCGTGTTCACTTCCTGCTGACGTACTGCCACTGTCCCTGGGTCAAGGGCTCTAAGCATGGCCTCATCCATGGGCCCCTCTGTGGAAATGGAAGGTCTGAGGTCCCACCTGAGAGCTACTGAAACTCTTGGGTGGGGTCTGGCACTGCATCCTTGAAGGAGACCACAGCATGTTTCTAATGGAAGCCAGTGGGCAGTGAGCCTCATTTTTGTCCCTCGGGGGTCCCTGCCTCAGCCCCAGCCAATAGAAAACCCAATTTCAGTCGCCCTGGTGTACATATTTCTGGCCAGCTGTCTCATATCAGGCACATGGTGGGGCTGTGGATATGGTGGTGACCGAGACAGACAGGAGTCATGGCCTCAGGAGCCCAGCGAGCGGACAGAACAAGCTGCGAGTGTGGGCTGGCCCCAGGGGTCCCCGACAGACAGTGCTGTCTGTGCTCTGACTGAGGGTGGCCAGCCAACACCTCTGATCCCCTGTGCTGACATCTTCCCCTAGCACTGCCCACCCAGGGCCCCACCGGTTCTCCCCAGACCACAGCTCAGCAGGAGGACGATGTGGCCACTTGGCTGGCAAAGGCACTGCCTGAGGTGAGTGTGGGGTGTCATCCTTTCCTTCTCTGGTCCCAGCGTCCTCTGAGGCCATGGTGTCACTGGAGTCAGAAACTCCAGAGACAGGAGCAGGAGGGGCCCAGTGTTCTCAGACACTTGGGAGGCGGGGCAGCCCTGGGCCAGATGTGCAGAACATGGCTGGATCCCAGTTAGAACAAGAGAGACTTTGTCCTTCAGAAATGCAGACTTGGGTGTTTATGACTGAAACAAACTCAGTAGGACCGAGTACCACGATGTGATGCTGGAGACCTTTGGATGCCTGGGATTTACTTCAAAATAACCCAGAGATGGGGTGTAGACAAAACAGGTCCAGCCCTGTCTTGCTGAGCGTTGAAGCTTAGAGAACAGTTAAGTGATGGTGGGTAGGTAATCTCAGTCAGGGTTTACATCTGGCTCCAGCAGAGGAGTGACTTTATCAGCTTTCATGTAATGAGAGGTCTGGGGCAGGCTTCAGGCATAGCTCGATCCAGGGGCTCCAGCCGCTTCCTTCTCAAGTGGGCTCTGCCCTTCATGGGCAAAGTGCCTCCCAAATCCAGGCAAAGGGCCAGGGGGGAGGCCTCTTCCTCCCAGAGTCCTGGTCAACTCCTTGGAAAGGACTGATTATAGTGCAGTGTGAGTGGCCGCCCCACTCCCAGGCAACCCCTATACCTGTGAGGAGGGACTGTTCTCAGAAGAGGGTATGCCCAGGGTGGGCGTGGCTGGCCTGGGGGGTGGTCTCCCCTGGGAAACTGTCAGAAAAGGTGGAGGCAGTTTGTCTGTGGCACCTGTGAGTCCTTGTGAAGGTCGGGCTCTGCCTCCAGCCTGGGCCCAGACTCTGGTTTCATGAGAACAGACCTGCTGGACCTCTTACGAACCCTAGTCAGTGTTTCCAAACAAGACCCCAAGGCTAGGGCATCCCCAGCCCACAGAGCTCAGGTGGAATGTCCCCGCCAGCCTTTCTTCTGTCCCTGCCGAGATCTCCCTGACCCTCATGCTGACATACAAAGTGTGTGACGTTGCAGGAACCAGTGACCTTCCTGGATGTGGCTGTGGACTTCAGCAGGGAGGAGTGGGGGCTGCTGGACACAACGCAGAGGACCGAGTACCATGATGTGATGCTGGAGACATTTGGACACCTGGTCTCTGTGGGTAAGGCCCCTCCCCCTCCGGGACTGGGCTTCCACGGGGGCTCTGAGTCTGGGGTGCAGCCTCTCTGGGCCCGGCGTGAGGACTGGACGCACCCTCGGGAGTCCCCTGCACTGTCCAGGGCCTGTAGCTAACACTGTGGACCTGGAGGGACGGGCTCTGCACGGACAGAGGCAGTTCAGGAGCGATGCGCTGTCCACCCGGAGGGTTAGAAGAACAGGACTTAGAGCTGAGACCACTCCCAGCGCTCGCCCAGTCCCTCTGTCACCCAGCTCAGGGCGCCTCTGCTGCTTCACTGCTCAGTCTCCCTCCCCGGGCGCAGGACTGCCCTTGGGGCGGAGGAAACAGCTTCTGAGTATTTCAACGGTCAGCCTGCTTTAGGGCTTTCTCTCTGCAGTACCCACACCCTTCGCATTCTTTCAGGGTGGGCGACTACCCTGGAAAGCAAGGAGTTAACTCCAAAACCCAACGTTCCTGAGGAAGAACCAGCCCTCCACCTGAAAGTGGAGGAATTCTCCAGGGAGGACGCCAGGCCCCCCACCTCCACCTCCGAGGATGCTGTGCAGGCTGGGGCCCCAGAGGCCTTGGACATGGCTGCAAAACCTGTGGTGCTCGCTCAGGAAAAAACCCTCTCTCGGAAGCTGCCGCAGGGCGAACGCCCCAAAGCTCAGGCAAGCACAAGTCCCAACATGAGCCCTGTCTTCCTCCAGAAAGCCCTTCCGAGAAAACGCCTGTGTAGGCGCGGTCCCGGGCTCAAGAGGGGGAAGCTTCGTCATCAGGGCAGCTGCGGTGGTGGCCGGGCCAGGAGCCGGGACAGCGGCGGGGGAGGCCTCAGCCCCAGAGCCCAGCAGATCACATTCACCCGAGTCCACAAGGGGAGCCAGGCGTGCCGGTGCAGCGAGTGTGGCAAGACCTTCCGCAACCCCAGGTACTTCTCCGTGCACAAGAAGATCCACACGGGGGAGAAGCCCTATGTGTGCAGGGACTGCGGCAAGGCCTTCGTGCAGAGCTCCTCCCTCACGCAGCACCAGAGGGTGCACACAGGGGAGCGGCCTTTCGAGTGCCACGAGTGCGGGAGGACCTTCAACGACCGCTCAGCCATCTCGCAGCACCTGAGGACACACACTGGAGCCAAGCCCTACCCGTGCCGGGCCTGCGGGAAGGCCTTCCGCCAGAGCTCCCACCTCATCCGGCACCAGAGGACCCACACAGGTGAGCGCCCCTACACCTGTAACAAGTGTGGGAAGGCCTTCACCCAGAGCTCGCACCTGATAGGGCATCAGAAGACACACAGCGGGCTGAGGTGCAGGAGGAAACAGCCCCTCTCTTAGCCCACCGGCCGCTAGGGGAGGAGACGCCACCTGGCAGCCTGTTTCTGCCTTGTCAGGTGAGCTGGGCCTGGTTGGGTTCGAAACTGAACATGAAAAGCGGCCAGTGATGATGTTCTCAAGAGCAGAGGACCACTGGGGGGACTGCCCTGCACTCAAGCCAGTAAGAAAACCAGCAGAAGTTACTGCTGAGGAAGACATCAGTCGGAAAACCAGATCTACTCTTTCGCTCAGTTGATTTGCTGTTCTAATTTGTCTGTTCACTTGGTCGTTCAAAGTGATGTTAGGGAAACCTGAAAATGCTTATCATGTAAGTTTCAAAAGCCAGGTACCAAAAAGTCTGTGCACTGATGACGTATTTGTGGTGAAAGTATGTATAAGGACAAGGGCTAAAAGAGAATGTGGATAAATAAACTATGTTTCTGGAGTAGGATCTGTGTGTGTGTTTTCCACCTATTTAATTAAATATATTTTCACTAATGCCTTGATAATTCAAAAAAGAAATGTTAATGCGAAAAGGACGAGGTTGTCAGGCCAGGTCTCACAGGACCACAGACCCTCTGGCCCAAGATTCCAAGGGAGTCTGGATGAGCGGGTCACTCCACCCCTTAGGGCGTCATTGAGGGAACCGGGGGAGCCGCTGGAGGCCTAGGGGCCACAGGCAAGCTGGAAGCTTCCTGGGAATGCTGGCTGGCCTCACAGCCCCACTTCTGAGGGACTCCTTCCTGGCCGGGTGCTCATCCCCCAGTTAAGCAGCCAGGCAGCAGGACCGAGCGTGTGTTTGATGCTGCGTTCCACAGGAGATAACAGTAAAGTTAATTCTCCAGGTCCCTCAACTCCACTTTGCTCTCTGAGTTCTGCATAACATTTTAAGATGTTTCTTAAAATTCTGGATCAGATACTGAATGTAACGTTCAGCACATTCTGGCTGAGTGCGGCCTCAGCAGAGCCCCTGGGGTCACCCTGGTTCGGGTGAGGTGCAGGCACGCCTGGTGGGTTGAGCACCCACTCCTTTCCCTGCAGGAGGGAGCAGCCCTTGGAGGCCTGGCAGAGCCAGGAGGACAGGGGCCTGGGCAGGGAGGCCCCCCGCAGCCCTACTGCTTTTCTTGGATCAGGCACAGGGCTCCCAGCTGCTCCACCACGTTCAGTCGCTTCCACAGCCAGTTAGTGACTACACAAGATGAGCATGTTGGGGTGAAGAACTCGCCAGGGCTTCTGTTGCCTCCCACTACGCCAGGTGCAGTTCTTTCCAGAGAGGGAATGATTTTCCCAGAGAACAAAAGCAGCTCTTCTCCAAGTCCTGGTGGTGTAGAGATGCTTGCTCCCTTGAGCAGTGGCTTCACTTCCCAGAATCCCACTGGGCTTGTGCTGCCTGGCCGCAGAAGTCATGCCGTGTGACTGTGAGATGAGGTCATAAAGGATGCTGACGGCTGCTGTTCCCTTGTGACGAGAGGCAGGCTGATCAGCTGAAACCATGACCAGGCGACAGGAATGCTGCTGGTAAAGAGAGAAGAGGTGAAGCCCCCTCAGAGGGAGGAAGAGAGAGGGGTGGGCTGGCCCAGCAGCTCACCAGGGCCCTGCTGGAAGATGGGCTTGGCCTGGCTGTGTCTTATCAGTTCAGGTGCCCATGTGCAGGTGAGCAGAGATTAGGGTTTAACTCAGAGCAGAAAAATTTTAAGCTTAATCCCTCTTTTAAAAAATACAATTCAGGGGTGGGGAAGGGAATAGCTCATTGGTAGAACACGTGCTTAGCATGCTCGAGGTCCTGGGTTCAATCCCCAGGACCTCCGCTAAAAAAATAAACTTAATGACCTCCCTCCCTTCAAAAAAGAATACAATGCACAGTGGTGTTTAGTATGTTCACAAGGTTGTGCCACATCACCACAATCTAATTCCAGAACATCTTCATTGCTCCCCGAAAGAAAACTTGGACCTGTGAACAGTCCGTTTTCTCTTTCCCCGGCCCCAGTAACCACTAATCTTTCTGCCTCTGTGAGTTTCCTTATTCTAGACATTTCATAAAACGGAATCACGTGGCCTTGTTTGCCTGGCTTCTTGCCCTGAGTGTAACATCTTTAAGGTCATCCATTCTGTAGCCTGCATCAGAACATCATTCCTTTGATGGCCCCTTTGTATGGATAAAACAGATTTTGTTTGTCACCGTTGCCGCCACTTCCAACATCACTCATGATATCTGGGTATGTCAGCACCTACTAATGTCAAGTTTGAAACAATCCCTCAAGGGACACTTTAAAAATTAGAGGTGTTAGGGGTGGATAGCTCAGTGGTATAGTGTGTGCTTAGTGTGCATGAGGTCCTGGGTTCAATCCTCAGTACTCCCAGTAAAAAAATAAAAGTTAAAAAATTATTTTAAATTTTTAAAAAATTAGGAGTGTATGTTTATGTCTAGAATTAGAATTATAGGAATTAAGGCAAAGAAAGCAAGGAAAGAGGGCTCAGAGATGGAAAAAGAAAGGGATTTGTGGGGAGGAAAGTGTTCTGCGCTGACTCAGCAGGGACAGAGGCAGTCTATCAAATGGGCCTGTGGCTCAACTTGGGCATAGAGCTGATGGTTCTCTAGGAAGATGCAGATTCGAGGAGTGGTCCTACACGGGGTAGCAAAATACATTTTGTTCCAGTGGAAATGTGACCACAAGACAAATGACTGGGCACCACCAATAACGGCGAATCCGGGAGAAAACTTCATCCCAGACATAGATCTTGTGATCAGAGCTGTTTTCATCTGACAACTGGCAAGGTTCTCTAGTGTCCTTGGGTAAGCCCCAGAAGAGGGTGGCTGCCATCCTGCCTGGGGTAGGATTGCAGGCTTCTGCTAGATGTCCTACTTATAGTTTGAAAGTTGGAGCCTCTCACCAACTTAACACCTACGAGGCACCTTGGAGTTGTGCAGTGTGAACCCAGCAGAGGGCTTCCTGCTGCTGAGGGCTTGATTTCAGAGAACACCATGATCCTATCGGCCTAGAGGAGGCAAGGATCTTTTGGTTCTTTTGGACCTACTAACCGACACCGTGCAGGACATTAAGGCCTCCTCACATCTTCCAGTTCAGTCACCTTGGGTGTCCTTGGTGGAAAAGGACAGAAACCGACAGTGGTTGACTTGAGCAGAAAAGGGCCCTGTTGGCAGGGTTTCAGGTCAGGAAGAGCTGGAGAAGGAGGCATGGAAAAGGGCCATAACCAAGGGAAGAAAGGGCAGAGACCTCTCTGGGATGCCCCTTGGGCCGCCCCCTCCCAGACGTGCCTCCAGACTCTGCACCTAGTGTTTCTGGAGCTTTCCGTGGTAAGCAGAATGATGCCTCCCGCCTCCCCCAACCAACCTCACGGGGTGCCCACAAGTCAAGGATGCAGGCAGCCTCTAGAAGCTGGAAGTTAAGAGAACAATCCTCTCCAGAGCCTCCAGGAGGAATACAGTCATGTCCACAGCTTGATTTTATCCCCTGCTCTATTTCAACCTCCAGAGCTTTAAAGTAATAGAAACTGTTTTAAAAATTAATAAAATTGTGTTGTTTTAAGCCACAAAGTTCGTGGTAATTTCTTACAGCAGCAAGTATAAAAATGAATACAGGATTTCTGGGCACAGGCCCCAGGATGGGTATTTTTCAAGCTCTCCAGGTAACTCCAATGAGCAGGCAGGGCGGAGTATTTCTGGAAAAACCCATGAAGAGAGCTGATAATCCATGTTGGTGAAGCCCCAGCATTCTGTTGGAGACCTGCTGCACCCTGCTAACAGTGTTAGACACAGATTAAGATCCTCTGATCTAGGGTGTCAATGAAAATTCAATTAACTATCAAGTTAAGAAGGGAAAAAGGGGGGAATTTTATTCCAGCCAAACTGAGGATTATAACCTGGGAAGCAGATTCTCAGAAAGCTCTGAGAACTGTTCTGCCTGTTAGAAGTCAAAGGCACAGTTATACCCATTTTTGAGACAAAGAATCATACATCAAAATGACATACTGATATTTTACATTAAGTTCACCAAGGACATGTAGTCCAGGTGAGCACCTAAGACCATGACCCCTATGAGCTGGAAAAGAACATTATTAAGAAGTTACATCCCTAGCGTTGTCAGAAGAAAGGGGAAAAAAAATGATCTTCATGGTCAAGCAGACATTCCCACGTTTGAGGAGTTCTGTTTAACCCGTGGTGCATGTGCATGCTGCACACTAGGGAGGGAAGGAGGAGACCCAAATACAAAGAATTCTATGTTCAATTTTTTCTTGTCCTGTCTTAAAATAGAAATTTTATTTCATCAGGGGAACACGGAAAACATGGACGACCAAGAAGACTCCAGCCACCTCATGGAGTGAATTCCACTCTGGTTTCACATCAGACACCCAAGTGGGCTAGACTCAGGGGACGGGCAGTGGGTTGAAGCTGTTCCCTCACGTTTCTCGGTTCCCTGTATCACTGGTCACTGTCCACAGGCAGGATGTGGAAGGAGGGAGGAAGTTCTGAGTACAAGGCGCTAGTGTGTGCGGCGACGCGAGCACACATCCGTTCTGCACTGCCAGGCACTCTCTCTTCTGTGATGAGATTCTCCAAAGGATCTCACATCCCCTCCTGAGAAACCACTGGGTCCTCAAGGGTGAAGTCCCCAAGGAATCCAAGAATGAGAGAAAATGTGGCTGTCACACACTTTTCTAGAGGTATTTCCCAGAAGCCAGGTAGCACTTAGCTTCTTAGTTACCTGTCTCTCATCTTCCTGAAATTCTCAGACAAAGGAAGTAAATAGTCTACAGGATCCCAGTTCCTTTCTGGATTGTTTTCATCTGTTATCTAGTAACATCACTGGAACATTTAGTTTAATATTTTTAAATGGGAAAAGTCAAATCAACTATTTATCCATTCCACTTTCATCCTCACCCAGGTGCAGACATATTTTGCTATGACAGCACAATTGTGCACATCACTCATTTTCACATAATTAGGCCTTACATAAAATGCATGAGACACAGTAGAAACCACACAGATGGCCCCAAATGGTCAGATAGCTCAGTGAAAAAAATTTGTATTACATTTCCGTCATCTGTTTCGATCTTTGTATCAATAATGTAATCATTCTAGAAAGAACTTTCCCCACATCAGTGTTTATGTTATTCATTTTGTCTTTGTAATGGTTCCTTCTCAGTAAGCCTTAGTTTTATTAAGAACACTGCCTAGTTGATTAACTTTTGTAGGATTGTGTCATAAATGCAGAGATTGACCATAAATTGTTAACACTAAAAAATTTTATTTAACAGTTTTCTTCAAGAATGGGTTCTCTGATGTCTGACCAGGGAAGGGTCTGAAAGCCTTTCTGCACTGATTACATGCATAGAATTTCCTTCACGATGAATTCTTTGGTGTTCGGTAAGTCAGATGGTCTGCTGAAGGCTATTTCACATTACATTCATGTGGGGTTTTTGCCCATATGA